TACAGGGAGCCAACGCCAGGGTTATGCTTTGCTGGACCCATCCCCAGGGGCTGGAGCAGGTCAGCGAGGCAGGGCTTCTGCCCTGGGACATCCAAGCGCAGGTTGGACCGGCAGCCAGAGGGCAGCAGGCTGGGCTCAGTGGCTTTCCAAGGTCCCTGCCAGCCCCATCCCTCCTCCACATCCCTTGGGGCTTCTGCAGGACCCAGTCACATCTACCCGCCACCCAGCCCCCAAGTAGTTCTCCTCCAGCTCCACAACGCTCATCACGCTCTCAGCTGTATCCACTAAATGTGCAGCAACCCCACTGGGTGCTGCCAGGATGGATGCCAGAGAAAGGCCCTTCTAACACCAGGCTGGGGGGCTACCGCAGCACAGGAAGGGGGAGGCAATATCACCCAAGCCTGGCTGAATAGTGCAGGGAGCCCCGGGCTGTTGTTCTAGCCACACTTGCAACGGGCTAGGAAGAGACACCCTGGGGCTGGCATTTCCGGCTCCCCTGCTCGGGTGTGGGTTTCCCTTGGGCAATGGATTTCTGTTCAGACAGGGAAATGGGCCCCCAGAGGCATCCTGTGGCCAGCTCCTACCCTGCACCCAGCAGCTCGTGACAGGGAGAAGGGGAAGAGCCTGGCCTGGCCCTGGGAGCTAGAGCAGGGCACTCGACTCCCCTCCCTGGGACTGGCCATCATGCAGACGCTGCCCTGGCTCATGCACCCCGTACAGGACTCCCGGATCATGGCATGGAGACCCCAGCCACAACGTGTGGGTCTGCTGCATGGCATGGAGCAGCTCCACCAGCCATGGAGGCGCTGGGGCTTGGATGCATGGAGACAGGACCCTGGGGAGTAAGGGGCCACAGAGAACAGAGACGTCCCACCCCACCCCCAAGGCGCGTGTGGGCAGGCAGGGACCTTGCGGGGCTCTTAGCAAAGGGGGATCCGACTACAGAGGGCAGTTCTAGACTACAGGCCTCTGCTATGGGAGACTAGGCAGGTGCACGCTATGCTCCACCAGCGAAGGAAGAGAAATGGCCAGTTAGCATGACTGCCTTCCCCCAGCACCCTCTGGAAGGTGCCCCAGGGCCCTCTCCTGTGCATCCTACCCTCGAGTTCTCACTGAGCATGTCTACACATGCAATTCATGCTACTGTGCAGTAAAGCCACGTAAATTTACTGCACAGTAGACTAATTTACTGCACAGTAAGTGCCTGCATGTGCATATGGTGACGCTTCACTGCGCAGCAGACTAACCTACTGCACAGTAAAGCATCTCATGTAGACGCAGCCACTGAAATAGGACCTCGGGGGGATGCACAGTGCCAGAAAGAGCGCTCCCTCAGCCCACAGAGTCCAGGGAGCACATGCTTCCCTGACCTCAAGGCTTTCTCCCCATAGCTCACTTAATCCCAGCAGGAGCTGCCAAGCTGAGCCCCAGGTAGGGTGGGTGGATCTGACCACAGCCCGGTCACCGCTGACCTTCAGCTGGATTTGAACCAGTCACTAAAGCGGCTCTGCAACAGCTCAACCAGCCCCTGAGCTCTCTGCCGTCGTGCAGGGCCTGGCCCGCCACAACCCAGAGCATCTTTTGCTAAGAACCTACTTGGAGGCTTCGATGCAGGAGACGCCGGGCTGCGACCCGGACACCGCTAGGAAAAGGCACTCGAGTCCCAGGAAGCAGGGGTGGAGGCAGTCATGCTCAACGGGCCCTCGCTTCCTTCAGCCTGGCCCTTTGCTGGGGGAGAGGGATGGACCATGGGGGTTACATACAGACAGGCTGAGCTGGGGCTGAGGCGCCGGCTCAGACATCAGCTGGGCTCTGCTGCGGACCAGAGTCCGGAGGACTGGACGGAGCGGCACAAGAGAGGAGAAGAGGCAAGAGATTATGAAGAGGTCCCCGATGCCGCAGAGGAACCAGGTGGGCTCCAGCCAGATGCGGCACAGGGGGAGGCAGAGACGTAACATCTGTCCGAGGACAAGGAGCTCTGCCCACCGCGTGCGTGCACGGGTCCTGCTCCCAGCCCAGGGCATGGGAGGTTTCTAAATCTAGAGCCGCTCTACATCACGCCCCAGCTGGGCAGGGCACTGCATGCAGCCACGCTGGTGCAAGCCGCCCTGGCCCTGGCCGCAGGCGTGGGAAGAGTGAGCGAGACCCGTGCGGGGCACGGTACCTTCCGTGGTGATGGTGGAGGCTGCGTCGAGGGCCCTGCCGCTCAGGTCGCTGATCACACTGTCCACGGTCCGGTGGTACTTCATGAAGCAGGGCCGGATGACCCGCTGGTACAGCATCTGCGAGCCGTTCCAGGACACGGGAGCCATGCACCAGAGCAGGAACAGGCACTGCGGGCAGAGGGCACACTCAGGCCGTGCTGGACAGGGCTGGAAAGCCCTCGCTCGCCAGCCATGAGCAGCGTGGACACGGCCTGCAGGGAGGCGTTTGGCCTGTCCAGTTGGATGAAGGACAGAAGCACTGAGCAGCCCTTTCTGGGCATGGGACCATCGCGTCCACCCAACAAGGGGCAGCCGCATCTCCAGAGAGAGCTGGCCACTTCTCTTCTGGCATGGGTCTGCTCCGAGGAGACCAGGGTCAACACGGAGAGCTTGCATGCTTCTCACCCCAGGGCTGGGATTAAACTTGCTGGAGCTACTGGCATCTCAGCTGACTTGTTTTGAGCACCCAGGTGCCAAGAAGGGAGAGGACTTGGACTGGAGTCATCTCCACTAGGGATTGGGACACTTAGAGCTATGGAAAAACCATCTCCAAGTCGAGACCCAGTGGCTCCATCCCCATCTCCATGCTCCCAGGGCCATTTCCCCTCCTATGAGCCCTGCCGTGCCTCCCCGCGTTACCTTGCCAAAGTAGTAAAACGGTAACCAGTAGAGGAAGATGTCGGAGAAGAACTCGGCAATGCTGAAGACGCCGTACACCACCCAGTACGTCAGCCACTTGGTGTCATCCTCCTTGCTGGAGCTCTCGATGGCTTTGATGCTGGGGGCACAGAGATGCTGTTGCATCTCCCACCTTACAGGGCTGGCGGAGGGCATGCTAGAGCCAGGCGTTTCAAGGCTTGCTAGGGTCTTTGGGCACCTGTCGTGGGTGCCCGCTTGAACGCCCACTGCCCAAAGGACATTGCTCCAAGGGGAAGGGGCTGGAGACAAAGCCCGCACCCGCCCTGGGGCCAAACCCAGCGGAGCCCCGCTTTTGTGCTGGGAACAACCCTGCAGAGAAGAGCCCTCGGATCCCCAGCATTTAGCATTTGATTCTGCCGGACCACCATCACTAGCGCAGGGTTTCTCCGGCTCTCGGGCAAATACACCCGCCCAGCTACTCCTCCCACTGTGCGCAGCTGCAGCTGGGCCTCCACATAGGGCCCCGTGGGATCCCCCTCGAAGCCCCCAGCAAGGAGATCTGCCCTCTCCTTGGGCAGAAAGCAAAGGCACCAAAGCTGGAACGAGGGCGCTCCTGGCAGGGCACTTACGAGACATAGGCGGGGGAGGCAAAGCCGATGAGGTTGCAGAGCAGCGAGGCGCCGTAGCCGAACACAAGGTAGAGCCCCACGAAGGTGATGGAGCCTGCCAAGAGAGGGGACAGTCACGCACGGCCTGGGCAGGGGTGGGGGGGGTGCTTCAGGGAAGAGACACAAATGACATCCGGACGGGGAGACGTGCAGGCATCCCATGGATGGCTGTGCCATGTCGTATGGTCATGACAAAAGGCCACTTTTGGCTTGGGTCCCTTCCCGTCCTTGGCTTTTCTAAGTCAGCACGCACCCCCCCCAATCAGCCTGGCTCCGGCTCGGCCAGGGAGCTCGGAGACCCACCTGCCCTCCGTCACTGGAGATTAGCTCCAACGCCCTGAACGGGGCAGCGAGAGCCATCACCTGCTTGCTCCAATCGTCACAGCTCGGGAGTGTTTCTGGCCACCGTCTCACCATGCAACGAGGCATGAGAAGGCGGCACGAGAGCTTCCCCACCTGGGGGTAGCGCCTCTTCTGCAGGGCTGGCCTGCATCAAGCCAAGATGCTCCAAGAGCCTCCCCTGGACAGGGCTGGCTTGCTAGGTTGCCACACGCACGCAATGTCACCGAGCGCAAGACTGGAAGACACTCGGACGCTATGAAGACCCTGCCTGGGGGCGGAGAGCTCAGTCAGTCCCCAAGATAATTTTCAAGCATCCTTTTAATCGCCTCCTTGCCAGGACTTGCTGCAATCTCCTTCCCTGTGGCAGCAAGCCTGGTCTCATCATACAGAAATAAGTCCCTGGCATGAACCTCTGATCCTGGAGTTGCCCTCCCTTTGCCTGGGCTGGGCAGGGATTGTTGCCAGGTTTCGGGGAGTAAAGTTTGGCCAGGAGGGCTCTGGGCCGGCACAGGGGAGTCCTCTAGGTTCACTAGACATGTCCAACATCAGGCAAAGCAGGGATGGAGGCAGTACCCGGCATCCCACACCAATCCCTGCCAGGATGCTCTTTTCAGCTGGCGAGAGGGCAGCTCGCCTGCCAGCTCTTCGTTTCGCCTCTACCACCAGCGATGCCAGGCACCAGGAGCCCGGGGGGTCCCTTGGGGCCAGCTCTCAGCCTGCTGCCCCCCAACAGCAGAAGGAGACCGACTGCTGGCAGAGGGGGGCAGGAAAGACCATGTCTGTCCTCCCCCAGCAGCCGCCGGACACGGAAGAGCTGACGTTGCAGCGGCAGAACGAGCGCTGTGGACACCTTCGCCCCGGTGACCCAGCACGCAGGTGACGGAGCACGTGCAGGTGGAGAGGCTGCAGGATATGGGCAGTGATGATCCCCAGGGCGGGATAACCACCACGGCCCCAACCCTCCCAGACTGGCCTGTTACTCGAATGGGAAGCGTGTCCCTGGCTGGCTTCGACGTGCCAGGGGATCCGCCGCGGCTTTTAGACTTCCGCATCTAAACAAGCGGGTGCTGCTGGTCTTCTGGCGGGAATGAGGGAGGGCAACAAGACAAGGCCGGTGGCTGCACTGCCCCTGCTCCAGGTCAGGGCCTGGGGCTGGCAGACCAGGAGGCACAGCCAGGAAAACAGGGCGGTCACGGCACGGAGCAGCCGAAGGGCAGCTGCTCAGCGCCCAAGCTCAACTGCTGCTGCGGGGCGCACGCTCCAGCCCTGGGGCTCCCACATGCTTGCCAAGCGCACCCATCCCCGCTACTGCCTGGGCACGAGCTTGCCCGGGACAGGTTCATTAACCCCCCCAGCCCCTGCAGAGAAATCCTGTCTTAGCATGAAGCTGTATATGTGGAGGCTGAGCTGCGCCGGACCACAAGCAAAGCGTCGGTGTCACGCCTCCCTGGAGGGTTCAAGGAGACGCCCAGAGGGAGAGCACGCGCAGGAGTTCGTTATCTCTACAATCCCAGCGGCAGAGGGGCAAGGTTCAGGGGCGAGCTCTCAGCGCCAACCACGGCCCCAGTTTGTGTGTGCAACAGTCCCACGGCCTGGGCCAAGCAGCCTGGCTGTTCACGACTCCGTCACAGATGGACATCTGACGGGTTGCCAATGATATGCAAGCCAGAGGCTGCATCTATTAACAGGACACAAGAAATCAGGCAAGCAACAGCCCCCGACGCAGCTGGCTGGAGACAGCGCTCCATTAGCTAGTCACAGGAGGAGGCCGATCTGCCCTTGGCCCCAGAGAAACCTGCACCACAACCACGCGGTGCCCTGACATGCTCCTCCTAGCCTCTGGACTGCGAGGGATTTGAAAGGCACAGGAAAGCTTCAGGGCTTAGCTCTGTCTTGCTTCAAGATTAGACCGAAACCTTCCCCTGGGACGGGCATGGGGCACTGCTTCCAGTTGCCCTCCGTGGTGTTTCTTATACTCTCCTCCAGCATGTCTGGTGCTGGCCGCAGTCAGGGTCAAGACAGATCTGTCCTGGGTCCAGCAACTCCCACGTGAACTCCCCCAAATCAGAGGGAGAGCCGCGAGAGCGACCGCCTCCCTGCCCAGAGCTTGCCGCGCTGAGACGACAGCTCTCCCCTGCAAGGGCTTCACCTGGCACTGGCCTGGATTTTCTGAGACAGCTTTCAAATGGATTTAATGGGCACAGGGGAAAGGACTGTGCAAGGCGCTGGCTTTTCTTGCAAGGCGCATACCCCAGTCAGCTTAAGCTCCAACCCTGGAGCAAGGCCAGAGGAAAGAAAAAAAAAAAGCGAGCAGCCAGGTGGGGTTACAGCTGTGCAGGTGCAGAGCTTGGATTTCTTTCCTCCTTGCAGATCTCCAGGACCTGGTTTCAAGCGGCCAGGGAAGCAGCCCACACAGCTCAACCCTGTGCTGCAGCTTTACCTGCTCTTCCAGTCCTGCTCCTGTCTCCAGGCAGACATGATCGTCTGCCGCAATGCTCCTTCCAGCTGGAAAGCCAGGCAGCTGCAGGGCCCTGCCCAGTGTGAAACCCTGCTGCGGGCAGCAAGGCCTCTGCCTGCCCCGTGCACCCAGGGCATGGATTTCTCCCACCCCAGAGGCACGTTGGAAAGCATCAGTGAGACACCAAGAACCCCCCTGGGAAGCAGATAGACCAGGGTGCGTAACAGCATCCTGCAACCAGCTCCTTCCAAATCAGGGCCCAGGACTGGATCTGAATCCTGGACTCGAAGACTAACACGATGCTTAATGCAGACAACTCTTGCTTAGGGAGAGCAGGGTGGGAAGGGGAAAAAAGGACAGCCAGCAACATCATCATTTAGTCAGAAGAGAAGACTGAGGGGGGATTGAACAGCAGCCTTCACCTCCCTGCAGGGGTTGCAAAGAGGATGGAGCTGGGCCGTTCTCAGTGGGGGCAGACGACAGAAGGAGCAATGGGCTCAAGCTGCAGCAAGGGAAGTTGAGGTTGGGTATTAGGAAAGTCTCATGAGGAAGGTGGTGAAGCACTGGGACAGGTTACCCAGAGAGGTGGTGGACTCTCCATCCTTGGAGGATTTTAATAGACAAAGCCTTGGCTGGGATGATGCAGCTGGGGCTGGTCCTGCTTGGAGCAGGGCGTTGGACTAGATGCAACCTCCTGAGGTCCCTTCCAGCCCTCCTTTTCTAGGACTCCATCCCCCAGCAACAGCTGCGAGGCAGGGGCTCAGCCGCTTTTGTAATATTCCTCCTCCCGCGAGCAGTGTGGTGCCCTGCCCAGCACGGCACAGGACCGACCTGCGGGCAGAGACAAAGGCGCTTGCCACGGAGCACGCCAGATGCTCTCCGCGGTCCAGGGACCTCAATGTTAAGATAAAATGAGCATTTGCATAGAAGCTCGGGAAAGAGACCCTCATGCCTGGCGCGCGGAGGCCAACTTAAATGCTGTTAAGTGTGAACGTTTGGGAGAAGCAGGTGGCAGCGCGCCCGCATTGTTTGCCAGCAGCTTGCTGGAAAGGAGCAGGAGTGGGGAAAGGACACTGCACTTTGCACGGCAGCTTCCCCAGGTGCTACATGCAGCGGTTAACAGCCAGGAAAGTCGCCGCTAGAAGTGAAACAAGGAAGCACAGCGTGGCACAGGATTGCAACAACAGCTCAGAGCGAAAGTGGCCTGTGTCAGGGGCTTTACCAGCATAAAATAGCTCAGTCTTGGTTCTGGACAACCTCTGGACCAAGCCCTGAGCAGACAAGAGGCTCCAGCCCCCTGGACTAGCACATCCATCGGGGCAGGAGAAGGCAGGACAGAGCAGAGGGAAGCCAACTGAACTGGCAATGGGCAATTTAATTATCCCCTTTCCTTTAACCAAACCTGGCCCAGGGGCTGGAAGGGGAAAAGTGTGAGCGATCACTTGTGGGCTTGTTCGATTGCCACAGGCTGCTGTAATCTGCTGCCCGCGCACAGCCCCCTTACATAAGCCAAGTCATGAGCAGTGCAACCCTGCCCTCAGGAGGCTTCCTGGCCTCGCCACTGCTCTGCCAGACAGCCACGGGCACTTCACTGTGCCCCCGTGCCGCAGGTTTCCCCAGAAAAGAGCCCAATAATACCAGCCTCTTGCATAGGGTGCGGCTGCGGACAGCCACCGAACGAGATCCAGGTATCGCAACAGCCACAAAGCCAAGGCTGGAGTTGTTAGCCCGCGGGCAGGAGCGCTGGGGAGCTCAGACCCCTGCACCCTCCTGCAGCAAGGCTTGGGAAAAGCAAAGAGGGGCCCCCAGCCTTGGTGGCTCTGCCGGGGGGAGCCCAGGAGCAAACAGCCCCATCGATCTGGGCTATCATCCGCCCTCTGGGAAAGGCAAACACTTGTGCAGGAAACTGGAAAGCAAGCACAAGCAAGCAAGGTGGCAAGCAGCGCACCCTGCTCCGACACGGCACCAAGGGGCGCTGGCCGCTCCCCAGTGCCAGCAACGCCTGCCGCGGGCAAAAGGGGAACTGCCCGCGCTCCCGGGGCGCCTCTGCCGCCCTGGGGACTTAGGAGCCAGCTGTCCACCCGCCGGTTTTCCCATTTCCTTGCGCGCTGCCCCCCACACAGGCACCCTCGCCCAGGCGCTGTGCCCGCCACCGCTGCCGCCCCGCACCAGCCCAGCGTGCGTGCGTGCGGGCAGGGCAGGGCAGGGCAGGGCAGGGCAGGGGGGGCGCAGGCACAGCAGCAA